AACAGCTGTTGCTTTTAAATTTACTTATTGTAAAAATAGTATTAACACTTTTGTTATAGCGTTAAACACAATGCATTAAGCCGTATAGCAATTTATTGAGACTTTTCATTAAGGAGATACATCCGTTCAAGTAAAAATTTGCTCACTAGCCCCGCCCTACCTTATGTCATAACTATTAGATTGGCACTAAGTAAGTGCGGTTTTTAACTTAGATTTAATTTAATTTATTTAGTTAAAAATGAATACCTTTTAATAATAGATTGCAGGCAATTGAGATGTCCATCATTGAAAAAGAGATTTTTGATCGATTGCGTGGCTTTCTTTTGGCCTATTTCTGCAAAATACGTAGACATCTTGAGATCACAAAAGGTATAAGCTGTTTATGGTGACGAAGCTTTAAAAAACGTCGTGTCAACATTGGTTTGCCAAATTTCGTTCTGGCGGTTTTTTACTCAAAGATGTCTACTTTTACTTTTACCATCCAACCGAACGATCAATTCTGATGTCCACATTGAACAAATAACGAAATTTAACAACGCAATCAAAGAAAAGCGGCCTAAATTACCTAAATCTAAACGGTGATTTATTCCATCATTGACGTCACATATCTTTGGACACTCGGCAAAATCATTGGAGCGTTGTTAGGATGTTTTTTACCATATCCACTATATCCTGACTTTGCACCTTCTGGTTACTTTTTGTTCAATCTTGAAAAAACTCCTTGAAGCTAAATTATCATGGCTGTTAGGTGATAAAAATTTTTGATGATAAAAGCCAGAAGTTTTATGGAAGTGGGATGAGGTGTTGCTTGAAACATGACAAAAAGCGATTGATCAAAATGGACAATACATTGTAAAATAAAGAATTTATGACAAAAATCCGCATTTACATAGTTGCCAACGTAATATACCTTTGTGACATCAGGTACCATTAAAACAATATAATTTTTCTAAAAGGGAGCAAGTAGTATCGGCATCAACAGTCTGTCTTTTGGTGTTAACTAGTTGTTGCGGGTGACCTTCAATCTTAAGAAGTATATTTTTTATTATTGCCAATTTCTCCTGCTTTTAATATTGAATTCCTTCCTCAGTCTATTCAACTATTCATAAGTCTTATATCATTATCTTCCATTCTAGGTGAATTGACAGTACAATTTCAATAGCCGCAATCGCAAATCTAAACATCCGTTCTGCAGCGATGTCTTACGTCCGATCCCGTAGTCCGCGCGCGTTAATCAAAGTGCGCGCCCGTTAAGCATCGGACCGTGTAAATTTGAAGTTTATTCCCTATTTCCATTATATTTAAATATCAGCGGTGTTTGTATTTAATTCATTCCGAGGTTTCGTTTAAAAGATTTATTGCTAGCTGTACTGAACTTGCTCGCTAACTTCCCGTTGTGCCAGGCGATCGAATGCTTTCATGCTGGATTAGGGACTAAATGTTTTATAAATATTGTGAATTGAACTTTCAAAGCTGTCGTGTGGAACGTCTAACTATTCACATGATAAAGTAAATCATAAATTTTATAATTTATGTATACAATTATAGACAATGTATACAATTTATGCATGGGCAATTATTATAAATATAATAGTCAAATAAAAATTGGTTAAATTTTTTCAATTTTCCGTTTCGGTTATATTCAAAACTTAATTAAGTCTAGAGGATTAAATAAATGGAAAAAATCAATTAAAATTATTTTTTTAAACGGATGTTTTAATATATAATAAAACAAAATTCTCAGAGAATTATTTGGTATCATATTAATTTATCATAAAACAATTTTATACCCTCGATTAATATAAAAACTATTTATCCATAGTTTTGATATTCAAACAAATTACAATCATACACAAATGATTTATATTCATACAAATATTGCTTCCCTTGCTATAAAGATCCCAAAATTGAAGTACTACTTCAAAATTTAAATTCCAAATGCGTTTTATTGCTCGCTCCTCCATAAATTGAGTTATTCCAAAAATTCTAACTATGAATTCATAATAATGTCATTAGAATTTCATAAATAATATACATTCAGAAATATCGTGTCTTAAGTACATTATCGTTTGACCGGTGGTCGCTCATGCGAAGAAAAAGATATGGTCCCCCAAGTTTTACTAAAACCCATTTTCACTAATTATATTCATAGTTCATTGTTACATGCACTTGTATATTTTTTTCTAACTTTGGACAATTGATGAGACTTTGTGGTTTCTCTAAAAAACACAATGAGTGTAAATAAATTTTTATATGTGTTCATTCACAGAAGGAAACATTTATTAACTGAATTTGTTGCATTCAAATTGCTTAGAAATCTAGTGATGTGATTACATTTTTCGAAGAATAGATGAAGAGATTTATGCTTGAATTGATTTAGATAAGAGATCCTGAATTAAAATATTATGCACGTTAACAAACACTTGGAATAATGAATAAATTATCAGTGCATTTATTATTTTTAATCAGTACTTCACACTTACTCCTTTCGCTTGTAGTAAACTTGCAAACATAACGTGTAATTGAAACTTAAAATTGAAAATTTCATATTAATTAGTTATTAAGTAATAAATATGATTATGAACCTAAAAAAATGAGTTTCTCAAGATCCACTATTTCTATTTTATATTTATTTATCTAATGATATCTATGTGATTACTTTGATGAGTATATAGTCGGTGATATCAAAACATCTATAACAAATGATGATTATGACATATTGTTCTCAAAATTACATTTTATCATTCATTCCTTAAGAACATCTTTATTGTTGCCTGTATATAGACTTCGAATATGTTATTTTGATATACACAATACACTATATGTTGTATTTCATAGGTAGCATGCTGTGATAAAGAACAATGACCAAGTCTCAATACAAAATGCATATTTCTTATTGAGAACGTAAATATTTTGAATCATATATCAGCAGACAACAACTTTTACGAGAATGAAATATGCGAATAATTATAAATTAAATGAACGAAGTTCAGTTTATATAGAAATTATTGGGGTTTCCTCCCCCTAATTTGTGTGTTGAAAACTCAGTTGTGTGGTCATTTGATCATCACCATGTTGGTGACTTCTATTATTTTTCTAAGAGACAAGAGACAAATATAATATGCGTAAAAAAGTTTATGACATCATAAATATTTGGTTGTTAGTTCATAGAATACATAATAAAATCCAATAATTTTTATCAATATGCGAATGGCGTGCTGGTACTAACTCGGTGCGTGACCACTGTCTAGTTCAACTTCGGCTTGGAGAAGATAGAAAAAGTATTGATCAGGGATGATAAATTGGCGGTTTAAGTATTCACTTTGGGCTGAAAATAATAATGGGTATAAGAAATTGTATTTATTGTACTTATTGCAGATTGTTTTGTGCGTAACGATATTTCATTCAGTGGCAGTGCCTTTTGGAACCTTGGCGAAAGATTACTGTTATAATTGGTTTTCTAATTCCCATTTTTTTTTATAGTTTTTTCCTAAATTTTTAAGTTTATTTCGTTGTCTTCATTTTAATAATATTTTTTGGCCATCACTGATTTGCAACGAAGTAAAGAATGGCCGAGAAGAAGGAACATAGTTTCTTTTTTGCCATTTCGCTTCAGCATCGGCGTTCATATTTTAGTAAAAAAATTCTCAAACGCTATGCGTGCAATTTAGGGCCGGATTTGAAATACATTATATTTTAATTATTGGATTATTGGAAATATTGTTACACATTAACAAAGATTGATAAATTTGAAGCAAATTAACATATATAAAATTTAAAATTTGTAGATAATAATAATACAAACCGCAATTTTATGATAGTACAATTTTATATAACATGACGGACCTGCACAGCTATGATAATATCATACAAGACAGTTTACTTGTACATTCGAGACAAAAAATAATTTAAAATTTTTTAGGATCCTGTGAAAAAACGCCTTTAGTACTTACCCTTATTGCAATGAGTCCCTAGCCCCCAAGTGAAGGCACCAAAAGGCCTTTCTTTTATCTATGCTCATGGCAATTATAACATATTATTTATAGTTTAAATAATCTCTGTTATAAGCTTCTAGCATTTAAATTTTTTTAGTGTTTTTTAAGTTCAGCTATTTTTAAGGCAATTTCATAATAATGACTTTTGGCAAATAAAATGAGTCCCAATGCAAAGTTCATTGCACTGTTTTGATATTGTCAATTCCATATTGCTGATCAGTTTTCACTAAAGGCGCTCTTAAAGGATTTGTTTTAGCAAAGTGGTATTAGTGTTTTTATTGCATTCTCATCTTTGGTGTTTTTTTCTGCAGTAAATTAGTCCGAAATCTAAATCCGCCCCTTTGTATCAATATATCGCCATATATACACGTATCTCTATATTCTTTATACTCTTATAGATGTATTGCTATCATTTAATGTTCTGTAATTATGGCATGGCGTTAAATTTATTCGTACCATTAATATCGTTCAGAGATGATGAGTTGTGTGTATTGGTAATATTTGTGCGTTCATATATTTTGTTCGTACTTTATGCAATTTAATTTGTTTCGGATTATTCTTGATCGAAGTATATGTACCGGTTACTTCTTATAAATCCAGTGTTTGCGTGCGATGCGGTTCTTCAGAGCTACAGGTACAGGGCAGAAACTTAAAAAAAATATTTTTGAAAATCCCAGTTTTAACCATATTTATCTCGTGGATATATTATTATACTTAACATAATTTTCCTAGCTATCTCACACAATAAGAATGTATTTTTAACATAGTTATTTTCTCAAGCCGAACAACTTTAAAGAAACCAACATGCAAACAATATAAGTATTGATGTGAAACAGTATGCCGGCAGGTGATCATTTTAATATTTTCATGTCAAGGATTATTGTTAATATAAAACCATAAGCCAAGACAAATTTCTCTATATAAAAAAATAAATCACTGATATGAATGAGTTCGGTTACGCTACGTAACCAAAGCGAACAGGGACGAATTGGGGAGGAGAATTTGCATAGTACGAATGCAATATGACATATATCATATTGATTCATAAACTAAAATGAGCAATAGCATAGCATACAACAAATTCTGCTGTATTTTCACAAAACGATCAATCTATTAATGAGTACTTCATATTTTGATTAGTAATTTTTCTTAGATAGTCAAATGATACACTCCTATTTTCAATATTTGCATTTTTATTCTGAAATAAATTTGAAAAATTAAATTTTGTAATTTCTCATAATCAAGGGCTTATATTTTTATGATTAACTACTATAACTAATAACAACTATAATTTCTATGTATAGTACCTACAAATTGTACCTACTTTTTACAAAATGGTTAATTATTGTCTAATCCTTAGCAATGACCAGAAGACTTGTATTTTTTCAATCGTACAATTTTAATTATTGTTCATTTTAGGACAGGCGTAAAAATAATTTTATTATGAAACAAATAACTGTAAAATATATAAAATATAAAAATTGCCTTCAAAAATTAAAAAAAAATTAAATTCACTCTAATCTTTGGAGACCTGTGCTGTGAATCACTCATTGGAGTGACAACTATTCATTTACAAAAATTTAGTGCAATAATTTTATGTGTGGGTGATTACAATTGTACTAAATAGCTCATAGAATGTTTATTCCGATTGCAAAAAAAATCGTTCTAATTAAACAATTTTAACTATACTAATTAGACTTCTAAATTAAGTTAAAGCAGTAAAGATACTCATATCAGACCAAAGATTTTTTGTGAAAATATTTGAAAAAAAATTAGAAAAATAATGCATATATATTACATACTTATTTTTGGCTCCTACAAACGAATGAGTTTTCCAAAACGTGGCAGCTTCTAAAAAATTCACATCACACGAGTTCAGGAACCAGAACTTGATATCAAAGTCAAAGAAGTCACTTGGAGTTCCAAGGATCGACTCGAGTTTTTCTCTATTGGATTTAGGAAATCCTACCGGATTTTCAAATATTTGTTATCCGAAAGTCCTGTTCTGTACAATACTCGCGTTCATTGTAGGATGTAATTGGTTCCATACTGGTGCTTTGCACACAGTCGGGCCGGCAAGTTCGCGAACCCTTCAGACCGTGAACGACGTTCCATACGTACGCTACCGGACTCGGATGCGATGCCCTGCAAGGTTCTTGGTTTCTCATTCCGAACGAATAAAAAATAATAAATATAACACACAGTCGAAACACGAGAGACAGAACAAGGAGTATACCACGGGAAATAACTAAATATTATTAGGAACGAGATTTTTGAGATTTATAATTGTTCTATTGCTTTTTACAACTATCAATACACATTAAGTAACATTGTGCAATTTTTTTAACAAAAACTTATTCTGCGATCTACAATATACTCTAAAATAATACAGTACCAAATGAAAGAAATGAATTTAAATGAGTGGGTGATTTGGGCTTTAATGGTCCGGTGGGCAGGCTAGCGGCTGAAAAATGAATTTCACTTCTTATGAAATTTAGAACATCTATAAAATTTATAGAAAATTTTCCAGCTACATTGCTATATGCATAGGATTACAACCTATATCGAGTTTATCACATGTTTTTAGATTCTAAATGTTATCGGAAGGGAAATATCAATCATTTTTTTATCTGCTATTCAAATCTGAATCGATCTTCTATCAATATTCTATATTCTTGCTAATGTTGTAAATTATTATGGTTTACTCAATTTTGGACAACTTGCTCTAACAAACAGTTAAAAAGTTTGGATTTTAGAATATACAATATTTTACAGTTACGTCGTTGACATTATTTTAGCGTCAAGTCATAAACGTCGAAGCTTATGAAATACAGCAAAAATACTGTCTTATGTCGGTGTTAAGGACTCAAAGTCAAAATAACTATGTCTATATCACAGGTTTTATTTCAAAATATGACATCCACTGAAGAAGTAGGCGTTTTATTGTTTATCTACATTGATTAATGGTGAAATAAATCTAAGGAATCAAATTTGAGGGAAATATAGACTCTTGGAGTTGAGAACGCAATGTTTTATCCTCTGTTGCTTAAAATGGTGTAAAGATTGACGTCTTCCTGGTGAAACAGGTGTTTGGCATCAGTATCATCAGCATACGATGAATCTAAATTTAAAATATCAATACCTTTTCTCAATTAATTACTTTAATCAGCAATAAACTTACAGATATAATTCTGTGCTAGTATTCTAGTTATTTCTCTCGATTTATTTTCCATGATAATTTAATTTGTTAATTAAATAAAATAAGGAATTTTAACGATTTTAAGTTAATCATTTTAATTTTGTTTCCAGCAAACGATGGGTGTATGCCAAATCCCTGCCAAAACAATGGTACCTGTCTACTAGGTGGACCCAATGGAGCAGCATTTACATGTCTTTGTTCTGCCGGTACACGTGGACGACTCTGCTCGGAAATGTCAAATTCTGGTGTTATAGGTTAGTAATAATAATATTAAATATTCGTAATATGTTATCGACATTTTTTATGATTTTTCTACGATTTCTGACCTATTACCTCTTCTTTCTTTTACCAGGAGGTTCAGAAGATGATTGTGAAGGTGTAACAGGAAGATGCTTAAATGGAGGAATTTGCGATCTTCAAAGAGGCAGATGCAATTGTCTAGCTGGTTGGACTGGACCACAATGTGAAGAACCTTTGGACCAATGCCACGGAGAGGTAAGATAATATAATTAATTTGCAAACACGAATACTAACAGCGTGGTCATAATTTTAATTGATCTATCAATATGTGTGAAGAAAAAGTTTTTTATATTTATATTCCTCTTTCAGCCATGCCACAATGGGGGCACTTGTGTTGGAGGTCCCGGTTGGTTTCGTTGTGAGTGCTCTCGAGGATTCACAGGACCGGACTGTCGTATAAATGTGAACGAATGCGCATCAAGCCCTTGTCAGGGGGGAGCTCCTTGCAAAGACAGAATAGGCGGTTACACTTGCTTGTGTCCACCAGGACGAGCCGGAGAACGTTGCGAGATAGGTGAGTTTATTTCAATATTAAAGAGTTGGAAATATTATTGGTCTAAATTAAAATGCATTAATCAATGTAACGAGCACTAAATTAAACAAATATTTGATCTTTTTCACCTTGATCAAATATGAAGAAGAATTATAAATTACCCTATATCTGGTATTTTCTTACAGAAACCTCTGGTTCCGGTTGTTGGGCGCCTCCTAATTCCACATGGCTGAACGAATGCAATACCTGCACGTGCGTGCAGGGTATTCAACGTTGCTCGAATCTTTGGTGTGGCCTTCAGGATTGCCTTGGTGTCAATTCTACAAAATGTGCACCGCATGAGGTAATTTTATTATTTTTATTTCATCATGGATTGACAATTAATACAATTCACCCTGCAAATGTTAATAAATCAGTAAAATGACGATTCTATTATTTAATCGTATAATATGAACAGTTTTAGACAATTATAGTTAATAGTAATGAAAGATGAATATTGAATTATAGGAATTTGAAACATTCCTAACGAAATCACACCCGCAACTAAAATAATTGAAAAAGTGTTTTCAACCACAACTAAAAGAATTTTCTTATTTCTAGGTTTGTGTACCAGCTCCTCAGGAATCCTGCCTCTCTTCTCCATGTATAGCCCGAGGCGATTGCCGAGCTTTAGAGCCCTCTCGCCGTGTGGCTCCTCCTGCTCTTCCGGCATCTCCTGATTGTTGGCCTAATCAGGCGGCTTTAGGCGAACAATGTGCTAGAGTGTCTGCTTTATTAGAAACAGGCAAAGCTCCCAGAGGAGCTACATCGGAAACTTTATGTGATGCCCTTAGAACCCTTCTGGGAGCGAGATTAGTAATAGAGCCGACAGCGGATTTAAGGCATATAGTTGTCGTCTTGTGTGAGATGAAGACGGGATCTAATGACACAGTTGAAGTTACAGTGGTGAGTAGAAATTTGAAATGAAGTAAATTTAGGAGATAACTATCTCGAGAAAAAATGTTCTGAATTTTGCAATTATTCATAAAAGAATATGCGAAGAATTTTTGTGATCAGCACTATCTTACCTTATCAACTTGTTTTTTTTCAAAGATTTTGGTAAAAATTTTGAATACCCAAAGGTTATTGAAAATATTATAATTTAATGAATTACTTTTAGTCTTCCCCTCCTGGTGGAAATGCAGGAGCACAAATTGTTGCCTTGTCTGTCCGGTTGTTGGGCGAATTAATATCACGTGGAGCAGCATCTAGTGATGGAGCATTACCAGGGGCTATCAGAGAAGTTAAAGTGGAGACTGCGCTTTTAAGTTCAGAAACTCAAGGAGGAGAATATTTTATTGCATTGGTGTGTATATTTGCCCATTTGTAAATTAATTTCAATTGATCTATGCTATTTATTACACGATTACCAAAATATTATAATTTGCTCAGATAATAATGGAAGATCCGTGTTTAAATAATCTATTCATTTAGTGAATAAAAAAAGTTTTATATTAGTTAAATAGTATAGCCAAATTCTCTATTGTCGCAATGTGAGAATTAAATAGACATGAGCGTTGATGTAAAATACCCACAATAAATTCTGATTTATTATTAAATTGAAGTGAAGCATAATTTTAGTATGAACAGAGAAAAATAAATGTTAACTCTGTTGGTTTCTGGTTTCAGATCTGTGTAATGTCAATTATAGTCCTTGCGGCTGTTGTGCTCGGAATATTTGTCATGAGACAGAGGATGCGTGGTCGTTCTATAAGTGGAATGGGCTTGACACCTTCACCATCTGATGCTTTTCGTGCTGAAGAAGAAAAATCAAATAATTTACAAAATGAAGAGAACTTTCGGCGATACGCTAATCCTTTAAAAGAAGAAAGATCTACTACTACGATGGGCGGAAGCCTTGGGAGCCTTCGAGGTTTGACTACTTCCAGCATAGAGTTAAGTCCAAAAGTTAGCGTGGAAATGCATCATCATAAATCAAGTCAGGACTTAAACCCTAATGTGAGTTTAGTGCGACCTATACCTGGTGAGGCTTTAGCTGGACCAAGTACTACCGCACAAGATTTTATGCATGAATATAGTCAAAGGTTACACAAGAACAAATCATTAAACCCGGATTTGGTGCATGTGGATGCAGATCTGTTGCATGTTGATTGTAATTTAAAAACAGCACATAGAAACAGTCAAATTCTGCTATACAAAGCTCAGAATCCTGATATGAGGAAAAACACAACTGGGACATTTGACAACCTTAATAAAGACTTTGGCAAAAGATCGATAAATATGTCAACAGCTTCAAGTGATAGTGATGTACTGACAGTATTGGTGTAGTATTGTGTTTTTTATTTAATATGTTATTATGAACTTAAAACAATCGTATTTATATTAAGACAGATTTTGTAATTTACATAAAAAGTATTACTTGTGCCTGGTAAGAGTGACTAAGATATTATATCATATGAAATATGTGGAGACAACTGAAGTGCCAATCAGATATGTCTCGAGTTATAAAAAAAATATAATCTATGTGATAGATTTAAATGATAATATATTTTATGAAAACCTTAGCCAAGCAAGAACGCATCTTACGAAATTTATAAGTTTGTGATAAGAGTAACATTATTATTGATGGACAATTAATTCATTTATTGCAACTCGCATTTGGCTTTTGCGATGCTTTCTCAGTATGCATCCACTATTATGTGATACTACTTTACAATATATTTTACATACATATTATTATATATGTTTCTATTTCTAGATTACCGAATATTTTAAATATTATAAAGTATATGATTTAATAATGTAACAAATTCAAAATAAGGCAGATTCGACAATTATAATATATTTTATGTAACTTTTAATATTTATTTTAATAATCTTTTTGACATTTTGTTTTGCAATATAGCTTGAATTTAAATTTATCATCCTAGATTGAAAATATAAATTATTTCTATTTTAAAAGTTACATTAACTTTTGAAATGTACATAAGTTATTGACTGTGAGTGGTTTATGAACTACAAAACTAATGTTATAATAACAAAATTATTTTTTTTAATTTATTTTTAAAGAGATATGGATATAGATTTTAAATTATGCAATTAATTTAAAAAAACTATATGATAAACTTGTATATATGTACCAAATCTTTACTAATTATGATGTTGTCTTTAAATATTTAATAAAATTGTAAACAGCATAGCTCTAGTTCGACTGCATTAAGTTTGTTGTAAATTTTGTATAAAGTTGTATGGTCTATTCGACATTTTTGACTGTGTGAATTGTTTGATTTATTGTATTATTACTATTTGACATGAAATATCTATTTGCAATGTAATTTAATTAATTTTTATAAGAATAAGAACTCTAAATACTTTATTTAGAAAAATGATAGAGAATGTGTATTTAAGTATTAAAAAACTGCACAAACCCAAAATGAAGTTATAGAATAATACCCTCAATACAAGAAAATACTCCATTTTCAAAAAAACATACTCATCTGCCTTGACAAACACATGGTAATGTAGATATATTGTAATCTTGTATGAATACTATTTAATGATACATTACTTATTTTAGTTTAATAGGTCAAATGTAATATTATTGTATATTTTTGTAATTGTGAACTGAGTGTTGAGGGGCTAAAATAAAAGATTTCTAATAAAATCAATTTTTATTATTTAAATAATTCATATGATAATGTTTTAAATAATTTTCAGATGTAAATGCATTCATAAGAAACAATGCAGGAATTAAGTATATATATAAATATATAAATAATTTAAATAATCTTCCTGCTCATATTCAACTTATAGAACAATATTTAATGTTTACTCCATATGGGATATTAAACGTAACGCAATCCTAAATATTTAAGTACTAGAAAGTATTTAAGAAAGAAATTTTAAGAAGGTTAATATTTAAGAAAGAAATTTTAAGAAGGTTAATGATGCGAGAGCATCGTAATTTACCTTTCTTTCAATTGTCCAAAGTTTTCATTGTTACTATATTATATTTCAAACAAATCCACTCATCCATTTAACTTTAAGAATGCACACTTTGATATTTTGATTGTTTTTAGTTCTGAATTGAATTTACATTTTGTACATTTGTACGACTTAATGACATCTTCACATCATCACATAATCTATGGTGGGTGGCGGCCATTGTGTTTATTTATGTATGCCGTCCATTTTGTATGAAGTCATTTGTCATCATTGTAATGGCGACTTTGGTGAAAAGAGTACGTGTGTAATTATTCTTCGGTTTGAAATATCATCAGTTATATAGATCAAACTGCTATAAATTATGCAAATGATAATATGTGCCGAAGTACTTAGAATTTACAAGATCTTTAATTAATAATTATTATTTACAGTTATCAGCTAATGTATCTTTTAATAATAATTGTATGCAATTGTCAAATATACTGGAATATACTGGATTTGGAAAGCTGTGAGTACTTCTGCAACATTCATATGTATATTATCAAAGTTTAGGACGACAAATCTTTCAGAAAAGTGTTTACCGCGTTGTGTGATGAGTAAAGACTCCACATCAATATTCGCAAATTATAAATAAAGTGTATAAAATCAGTGATCAAAGTAGTGTTTATACAGTAGTCATTCCGTGTTCAGTTTTGGGGCTTCTAGCAGCTGCTTTAGAGGACTTTGTTGTATATGAGTTAAATTAATTTTTATTTTTATACGCAACGAGTCAATAACTACGTGTTTGATAATATGTATCAAATATGTATCACTGGAATTCTTTGTACAACAGACAATGTTTTAATACATATCGCGAGTAATTCCTTGTTTGAAATTGAGTAAAAAGTGCTTTTAAAAAGGTGTGAATAGTCCATCATTTTATCTTGATATTTTTCAAATTGAGTAATATGTGTTTCAAAGAAAAAGCATTATAGTAATTAGAAGTAGTCCATGGCTTTAACTTAATATTTTCAAATTGAGTAAAATGTGTTGGAAAAAAGCATGATTAATAATGAATAGTCCAATAGTTTTAACTTTATAGTTTTCAAATTGAGTATATTGTGTTTAAAAAAAAGCTTATGGTTTTAACTTAATGTTTTCAAACTGAGTAAATTCTGTTTAAAAAAAATTGATAAATAGTAGTCCATGGTTTTAACTTGATATTTTCAAATTTAAGTAAATTTTGTTTTTAAAAAAGAAAGCGTGAATAGTAGTCCATCGTTTTAACTCGATATTTTCAAATTGAGTAGATTGTTTTTTTTTTAATAAAGCGTGAATAGTAAGCAGTCCATGATTGAATTGAAATAGTGATATATTGAAAAAAACGATACAAGGTAGTCCATGGTTTTAGCTTGATATTTTCAAATTTAGTAAAACGTGTTGAAAAAAAGCGTAAATAAAAGTTCATGATTTTAGTTTGACATTTTCAAATTGGATTTCAATGTGTATATTGTGCATGCATCTGCTAAAACATCCGGTAGCGTAATTAGCTTTCCGTATAATTAATTTTAGTAATCGTCCAAAAATCGAAATTGAAAATTTTTGCATTTTGCATCAATTTTTTCATCACTGTTCAATCTATTTGAATGATTTAAAAAACGTTCAGTTCGTATTGATGTGAGACATGGTATTTAGATTTTGGCAAAGACATTTACACAAAAGCTGATACAGGCCGATTAGTCTGCTAAGTCACTTAAGTAAAATAGTTGAGAAGGAAATTCACATTAGAATTAATAAGTTTTCATTGGAGAATAGAATAATCCCAAATTTTACAATTTTTGTCAAATAAATTATGATAAAACTGAATCAGTTTTCCTTACCAAATCCAATCCCATTGCTAACACTTCAAGTTTATGATATTGTAATCCCATGGAATAGTGAAGTTAAATATTTGAGACTGACGTTGGACAAAAAATTTATTTTCAATATACACATAAAAATAAAGTTAACCGAGCTAAAAAGATTTTGTACATGCTATACCTATTAATGAAATACATGATGTACCCATTAATGAAATAGCTGTCTCAATGTAGAAAACAAAAGCTAACTATGATTAGACAAATTACAAAAACTACAAAATACTGCTACAAGGATGATTATAGGACAATCAAGAAATCCAATCACAAAACATTAGATAAGTGCTGCATTTCTTCATGAAGCCACTAATATATCCTTCATGAAAACCTACATGGACATTATTTCAAAAGTACTATACTACATGTTTAGTTAATCAGAACTCTACCTTAAATAACATTGGACGTATAAATACTTACAGGGCATGGTACTGCAAATGCAAAATACCTTCCTCCATTAATAACTTAATAGTCAATGAATTAATTAATATTATTTATGAGTGGATAGTTATGAAAGTAATGTTCTATTTTATTGTTGTGACGTAGTTATTTATTAATCTTTGTGTTTGTGTTTGTCCTTAATATTACAGAGTTGGTCTTTTCGTTGATATTTTTTACCAAGACATATAGTTTACTTTGAAATTTTTGAATGTATATATGTATGTGTAATGTGCATAATGTACAAATATAATTTAATTTGAAAATTTAGAAGTACATAGTTTATAAGTTACGATGCTTAAACCATGTATTCAAATTTGAACTAAAATAAAAAATTATTATAACATATAAGCTGAATTATTTATAGACGATGTGTAGATGATGTTTATAGAATAATGTACATTATTCATTTATGTGTTTATATTATTATTATAAGCCAAATGATTTTATTACTGTACTATATTATAGAAAAATGTTGAAGTAGTTGAATGAAATAATAATAAATGCAATTGTTGAAAATTAAATTTAAATAAACTGCTATATGTATGAATATAAAATCATTGTTTTAGTGAAATATTTGATATTTATAAAAATAAATCCTAAATATAATGAAAAATATATTTTTATTTAAACTTGATATAATATGCTTAATATCCACAGGACACTATAATATTTGAATTTTAATAAAATTATATTTTATTTGTATTTTTATTTTATATAGTTTTATTTGGTTTTTTAAAATAGTTATTTCATTAGAATATTTTTATATTAAATAAAAAAATATTATTTAATTTATTATGTAGTTTTTTAATCAATAATGAAATTTTATACACGAATATACAGTACTTGACATTTAAAACAATATTTATCAAAATAAGACCCAAAATGTCTAATAAAGTAATTGACACAGTTCCAAACCCTATTGGCGTAGTCGGCTAGAACTCTAAACTCGACCTTTTTATGATGTAGCAGCCTCAGAAACCCGGTTCGAATCTCACCCATAACAAATAGGATTTTTATGCCAACATTGGTAAAATCTTGATTGAATTTCAAACCTATATAATTATTAATATTTATAATTTAAGTTGAATCACTCATGCATTATTATGAAAATGCACTACACGATACTCTTTTTTAAAGGATTTTGCACTGTCATTCGCAGCAGTGCCCGACATGCGCCATTTTCAATTGGAAACATATTTATTTGTGTTTTACAAATGTTAATTAACACAATTTGTAGTTCAGGTCATACAAATTTTGAAGTAAGTAGTTTGATTGCATATTAATTTATTTTTTAGTTTATAATAGTTTATCTATAAACTCTTGTTCTATCTACGATTTTATTGTTAAAAACTCATTGAACTCTAAAGTAGGCGTTTAAGATGGCGCCATTTGACGGCCATCAATAAAACACTCTGCAGTTGCATATCTTTGTATAAATGTATGAACGATCTGTCAAATCTAAAATATGGAAAACCAATTTTAATTCTTTTATAATTAGACTTGGTCGAGAAAACATGGTAAAAAGCAGGACCCATTTATGAAGTGAGTACTTTATATATAATGTAGTTAATTGCGCAAAAAATACTTTACGTTCGGGACAAGGCACCTGTTGGGTAAAAATAGTTTAAATTATCATTTCATTGTCATCGTGTAGAAGCTATTTTTATTATCATTGCAATTATTAAAGTTTTCATTCACAAGAACAGCAGCAATCGCTATCAATGCACAAGGTATTTATAATTTTTGTTAAATATTTTTTTGATGTTTAACTGCAATCAGAACTTAACGAGTCCTATGAACTATTGTGATGACTATTTAATGACGTAGCTTTATTGAAGACGAACCAATCGATGAATTTGAGTGAGCAAACTTATCCGGAAACAAATTAATTTATAAATAAGAGTAATTTTATATATCTAATGATAGGTAAGAGCAAGAACAAATTGTTTTATCTTGTAAGAAGCAGTCAACTAAAAAAGCAATATTATGATCTATTAAGGTAAATGTACACTATTCGGGGATAGTACATTATTACGGGAGTTTTTTATTTTGATCGCAAAGTAAGAAAACGGTCGGTCAATAATAATTTTATACAATAGCATATCAATTATATTTTGAATCGTAACAAAATAGTACGATTTTTGAATTTAAATGCTAAAAAGGCTTTTTAGCGCATCGGTCATGACCCGATCGTCATTTTTTACTGGCTTGTTATCTAGTTTGATTAATGTGACGGCTGCATTGCTGATTGCTGTTTTTATTCGATGTCGGTAAACTTACTCGATTCAAATTTCTGAAATTATTGATCAGTATTAATAAGAGATTAGTTTTATAGTTTAATCGTGCACATATTTGTCAAGAAATTGTCAATTTCATGACTCCCGTAATTAGGTACATACAACTCGCAATTACGAAAAGTAGACTTCAAATGTTTGTCTTTTATTTTCAACTGCGCTTAAATTTGGCGGAGTTTCTGGTGTTAATAAGTTCGGTAATGCCTACAGAACACTGTAACTTAATTACGGTATATTTATTTTATTTTTTATCTATGTATATATTTATATCTTTTCATCTATGATGAATTATTTCTGCTATATAAATTGAATAAAAGTACAGGTAAACTCCGTATAGCGCACGGTACTAATGGTTCACTATTTTGCTTGTATGCATGCATGTATGCAGAAATCTAGGGACATTCCTGTAAACATGGTAGTTTTAATACGATTAAGACAGTGATCTTTTGGAATATAACCATTATATAACCTGCATATTAATAAAACATACATCATAAGTTATTAAATTAATTTCAATTTCAATTACTCAAAAATACGTTACCGATACTACTCTTGAATGCAGTATCTTTCTAATAGTAGAACCCAATATCAGTAAATCCCAAATAGGGTATGATTTTAAATAGTTCTTTCAGTTTTTCAAAGAATGATGACTCCAGTTAAATATTCACCCAAATCTCTGGAAAAGGCATTAAAAAAAATTTGCAATAGTATATTAACTGTTTTTTAAAACTTCAAAAACACACAGAATTCCCAGTCAAACCTGATTTAAACTAGTTTGCTTTAATTTGAAAGACTTTAAAGATTATTTACATTTGTTGGTAGAATTGTAACCTTTTTTTTTCAAGTTTAAATTTTCATCTTGAGTTTAAATTTTATATTTATTTAAAGTTTATATTTTTGTTCAATCGCCGTTAAAATTATTCTTTTTCTGTTTCATATTTTTTATTTGATTTATTTGCCGAAACTTTCAGCATTGATAATAATTATTACACTGTTACCATCTTTTATTTTTGTTTTGGAAGTTTTTCAAAACTAAATTAAATAAATGTTTAAAATTATATCAAATTATTATTTTTTAATTAACCATATGTTTACCATATAACCAATTCAAGTAAAGGGTTCGCCTTATAACTTTTTTTTATTGGTAGCAATTTAGAATTTTTGATAGCCATTAAAAAGTTAGAGAGCCATTTCAATGAAATTATTTTCGATTATTAACCAGAAGGATTGCACTTTCAAATAGAAAAGATTTAAATTGAGAAAATATTCAGTAGTTTATATATAGCATTTTCAAAAAAAAAAGTTATCTGACGGACCCCTTATATCAATCAAGGCAATACGATCAATACAATGTATGCTTCGAGCGCTATCGCGGAATAGTGAATCTAGTGGTTCATCAAAATGCCGAATATTTCTATAAATGAAATTTTACGCCGCAAAATTTTATTTTTAAATAGAACAGTTTTAGCTCGTTCACTTTCCTACTTTTTTTACAAATCATTTTTAAAGTCAAACGTTTCTTAATATCCCGTAATATGGTATATTTACCTTAATTACATTATTTTATTTCATGATTATTTTTCTATTAAGTTGAATTTATGTTTCTATATAATATAAACGATTCAATTTTGTACAAATTATATCACCTAAATCCACTGATTGGTTCAAAACTACAATATATGGCATAAATAAATGTTACAAAGCTAGTTAAATTTACTTTCCATGAAAGCTATTTTTTATTCTCAATGCGTCATTTTTCTCTTGAACTAAATGATACAGAATATTTGTTACAATTCGAATGAATATAAAGATACAGATTGAGATTATTGTGTGCTTCTCTGAAGCGACTGCATAGCACATGAGGACAGCTTTGGTGAGGTATCAACAATGACATTTAATAATGTATATATAATATGCAACATTGTTCAATAATCAATTGCGTATTTTGCAGGTACAGGTAGGTTTGCTGCTACCAGTTACTACAGTAATTTTATGCAGAGTCTTTCAGTTTTTATGCGAACATTGTTACTGTGACGCACTGATTGTGGTATTTATTGGAATTGCATTTGGTACGAGTAGATTTTTTAAACAGTGATTTTACTCAAGATATTGATCAATACTTCAGTTCTCACTATAACTTTACAAAATTTAATTACATTTACAAAACTTAAATTTACAAAATCATTAAAGCATTGAATTTCATGATTCGAATGATCATTTGCACGATATGCCTTGCATGTGGGTTAATTTATTAGTTAGGTAGCATCAGTAGTTTTATTATTAATAATAACAAATACTAACACACTAATCTATTCAACTATTAAAAAATAATGTGGTCGTTTGAATCATTTGAGATGCAATGTGGATTTGACGTATCACATTACATTTTAATTTTCACTGTTTTCAATTCATGTTAATGCATTTTATATGAAACCAAATGCAATTCTTAAACTGCTAATAAATTGTGCTGCATTATATTTCTGGACATCAAGATGAAATCACATAGAGGCCACAACATATATCGAGCAAATTGAGTCGAATGGCCAAGCATCGAGCAAAAATTCAGTTTACATTTATTTTATTTTATCAATCATTGATTTATTTTGATGACTTAATTTATTCTTTACTAGATCTACTTTATTATTTTTTAGGCATATTTGATTTGTCACTGTGGTCAACTAGAATGATACAACTATGAACATATTTTGAAAGCATTTCGAGTATGAATCACTCAGATTTCGCAAACATTAATAGCTCCATTTTATCGTATAAACATTTTAAGACTTAAGAATAAATGCTCTTCAAAGAGGACTAATAAGTTTGATAAATTCGAATTTACTACAATGATTGGATTGCAAATTGGTCAGCCTCGCATAATAGTTAATAAGCTAGCCGAAGCAAACTAACAAGTAAGTGTCCAGTAATCAATAATTAGCACACTATTATTTTCATATGGTGTTCGTTTTTTATTCTTTTTTTTTCTGCATATATATTTAATTCAACAATAAATTTTTATCACTCTTTCTGCATTTCTTTGCATTAATAATAAAAAAATTATTATAGCTTTTAGGTTGCTTAAGCATTTAAACTCCACACAGACTTCTTTACGAGGGATCTTTTGGTAATGCATCAACTGTTTTATGAAATATCTATATATAACATCAATGTATTCATTAATGTTTTTGTTTATTCCAGATGCTGGTTCTTTAACATCCAATTCAGTAATTGAAAAATCTTTATGCCGATTCCTTTACCAGACATTTCTCCATATTTTATAAAGTTTGTCTGCACACTGACTCCTTCACCAGGAATTGCTTTAAAAATATTTCATGAAGTAAGTTTTTATCCATAATCCGTATAAATGTAAACAATACATAACATGTTCATTTTTTTTACAGGTCCTGTCAACAACTGTTGCTCTGCATTCACACTCTTTCACCTGGAATCCATACCAGTATAAATGCAAACATTCCTAAAATGATTTTTTTCAGGTTATTTCAACTACCACTGCTCTGCACACTGACTCCTTCACCAGCAATCTTTCCTGAATCATTTTAACCACGTATGTTTTTAGCCATACCAGTATAAATGCAAACATTCTTAAAATGATTTTTTCAGGTCCTTTCAACTACTGCTGCTCTGCACACTGACTCCTTCACCAGGATTCGCTCTGAAAATATTTCATGAAGTACGTTTTATCCATAATCAATATAAATGTGAACAATAAAAACTTGTTTATTTTTTTTCCAGATCCTTTCAACTACTACTGACTCCTTCACCAGGAATCGCTCTGAAAATATTTTATGAAGTACGTTTTCATCCATAATCAGTATAAATATGAACAATAAATAACATATTTATTTTTTTACAGGTCCTCTTAACAACTGTTGCTCTGCACTCACATTCCTTCACCAAGAATCTTTCCTGAATCATTTTACCAGGTACGTTTTTATCCATACCAGTATAAATGCAAAGATTCCTAAAATGATTTTTTTTCAGGTTATTTGAACTACCACTGCTCTGCACACTGACTCCTTCACCAGGAATCTTTCCAGAAACATTTTACGAGGTCTGTGTTTATCCATACCAGTATAATGCAAACATTCCTAAAATGATTCTTTTTTTTTTTCAGATCCTTTCAACTACTGCTGCTCTGCACACTGACTCCTTCACCAGGAATCTTTCCAGGAACATTTTAGGGTATATTTCAGGTATTTGTTTATCAATAACCAGAATAAATGCAAACATGCTTAAAATGCTTCTTTCTTTTTTTGCAGATCTTGTCAATCCAAATATTACTATCCTGAAGCTGTAACATCGAGAGCTTCGAATACTCATTCATGTGAGTGACTCGCAAGTGTTTTTTTTAATAACTACCTATAATTATGCATGATTAACTCAACTTTTATTAACTCAATAACATGACTAACCTCACTAACTTAATCAGTTATTATAAAAATCACTTGTTGAGTTTTACTATGAAGGTCGTACTGAGGGTGCTTGGAGGACACAGCCGAGTGATTAATCAGGTAATATATTATCATAGTATATTTTGAGACTTGTTACTAATTCATTGTTATTGTTTATAGGGTAAACGACGACTTAAGGCCAAGTAGTCTTCAACTCTCAAGTCACTCAAGGCTTGTTCTTCAGCGAAAATAGTCGTCCGATCTACTAATTATGCTGTCCCAAGTAAATATCTCCGTCTTGTCGTCAGAGAAGGTGTCTACTGTGATATATTAAATAGTTAAGTGCGTATATGTTAATGAAATAATGAATAAATATATTGTATTTAATTTAATTTGTTTTTTTAATTTAATTATGAGCCACTTTACGGCCAAATTATATTATGCTATCACGTAAATTACAAAAATATTTAAACATTTCTTGCGTTATTAATAGGGATACTTATTGAATGCACTTTTTAGTGTAGACAATTGTGTAAAACGGTTTGTTTACTGTTTGGGTGTTTACAACCATCTTGCCGCATCTTAGTTAAGCTCCTTATAAATTTGCTTTGACTCGGAAGAACTCTGCGTCGTTGCTTTGACTTTTTTGCAAACCCTTCTGTTAGGCGAGTGCCTTAAACATTTAATACGTCGGACCGATGTTTTCTCTTGTTTAAATATTTTACTTTCCATTATTTCTTTAAATTGTGCACTTTTCTTCTTAGCTATAAATATCACTGTGTTATTATTATATATACATATATATTAGGGTGATCCTTAAAATGGTCACTTTTGAATTTCCTTGGTCCCAGGGGCCCAAATGGTTCCAAATAGATAAAAAACAATTCTCTGAAAGTTTTAGTTCTTAATATTAACGTTTAGATAGAGCGCAATTCAAAGTTTTGTATGGAAATAGCATGAAAATTTTTTCAAAAATTTAAATTTATATATATATATATATATATATATATATTATATATTTAAATTGAAATTTATATATAAATTATAAATATAATTTATATATATATATATATATATATATATATACTATTAGACATATGTTAATGTATTTTAATTATTTTTGTTAATGCAATTGCAAGAATAAATTAATATAATTGTATTATTAAATAGTGTGATACATTGATTGGAAGTATTGAATAAAACTAACTAAACTTTATTTGCCATGTTTTATTTCACACCATTTTCAGTGATATATAAATATCACTGTGTTATTATTATATATACATATATATATTAGGGTGATCCTTAAAATGGTCACTTTCGAATTTCCTTGGTCCCAGGGGCCCAAATGGTTCCAAATAGATAAAAAACAATTCTCTGAAAGTTTTAGTTCTTAATATTAACGTTTAGATAGAGCGCAACTCAGTTTTGTATGGAAATAGCATGGAAAATTTTTCAAAAATTTTAATTTATATATATATATATATATATATATATATATTTAAATTAAAATTTATATATAAATATATAATATATATATATATATATATATATATTACTATTAGACATATGTTAATGTATTTTAATTATTTTTGTTAATGCAATTGCAAGAATAAATTAATATAATTGTATTATTAAATAGTGTGATACATTGATTAGAAGATTTGAATAAAACTAACTGAACTTCATTGGAGTGTTTCATTTCACACCATTTTCAGTGATATATATTAGAAACACAACATACAGGTACAGGTATTATAAACTGATAAGCTAATGTTTTAAACATTAATATACTCATTAATTCGTTCTTCGAAGAGGATTTATTATTTTGAATAAATTTCATATAATATAATTTTTGTAATCTAATTCTATCATAATCAATAAAGTTAATGTAGTTATAACTTTGGCCATTTTAAATAGACTAATCTATGGTTTTTCACTCATTTCAAAAATATTAACATTTTTCAATCACTTTAATCTATATTATTATTTAAAGTCTTAATTAGTTCATTTTAGTTAATATACTTTGAATATTGGCCAGTTTTACTTAACTATAACTTATAAAAAAAAATTACTTAACTATAACTTGTAAAAAAAAATTCGAGTCCTCAGTCTTGTGTTATTTTCTTCTTTTGCACAAGAATATCTTCATTATTATTAATAAATCTTAATTTTTATTCGCTTAATTATTACATTAATTACATTCATATTCTTACCATATTTACCCTACCATCTCTATTTTACTTTACACTACCTTACCATAACCTTACACTACCTTAACCTAATACTTACCTACGTTAAGAACTAATACTCTTATACTTACTTACCTTTACCACGTCTCGAACCTGCTACCCTGTCCTCTCCAGCGACTCCCACCTCCCAACGCGCGACGCCACGACGATCACATTAATAAACCGTTACAAAGTAGGTGATATTATATATTTTAAACGAAAAAAAATTAACAGGTCATATGGCCAAAAAAAATTTGAGTTGGCGTGGCCTGTGTTGGCGTAATTGGTAGAGTGATGGCTTCGTACCGTAAAGGTACCGAGTTCGAATCATAGATCAGGACAAAAAACGGGAAGAAGTAGTGCTGTTCGCGTTGAGGAATTTATTTATTGTAAGATAGCACAAAGATAAAATTTAGATTAAATAAACTGAGAGGTCATGAGGCCGAAAAAAAGCACATTCGGTATGGCCTGTGTTGGCGTATTGCTAGTGTGCTAGCTTCATGTCAACAGGGTACCGAGTTCGATTCATACCTCCGGACACAAAACGCAAAATAGCGTGACTGTTGACGCTGTGGAACGAGGTATGCACGGAATCACATCCGTTCGAATTTGAGACCCCAGGTATGCTCCCCTCGATCTCGATTGAGAGGAGAGATACGCGCGAGAATCCCGTATCATCCCCTAATGAACCCCGCAGCAGCCCCGAAAAGGGGCGAGGGGGGATTATAGGGGGGTGTGGGGTTCACGAACCCGCGACCCTGTGGTCCCGCCCTCGACAAAGGGAGAGGGGGGACTATAGGGGGGTGAGGGTTCCGCGCGACGACCACCACTGGGTCGCGCCGGTTGAAAAGCTGGGTGCGTCACAGGTTGGGTCGGTGTGCGAGTCCCGGAGCACCCTCGAGAGCGATGATGGGATGTGGGGGTGAGAAAAATGCAGTGACGAGGGGAGAAAGGGGTGAAAAGATATGAGAAGGGAAGATAGGGATGGTGGGAGAAAGATAGGGGGTGAGATGAGGGGAGGAAAGAGATAGGGGAGAGATAAGGGGAGGGAGAGAGATACTAGGGAGGGGAGGGATGAGAACGGGGAGAGATAGGAGGGGAGGGATGAGAGAGGGGAGAGAGACGGAGGGAGGGATGGAGCGACGTGCGCGGACACAGTGTCCGCGCAGTGCGGTAACACAGTGTCCGCGCAGGTTATCATTGCAAAATGCGGACAAGTATCCTCCCTTATCGCTTCTTTCCCTCATCCATCCTTTTCTCTCGCCCTCTCTTCCCCCCTCTATCTCCCCCCTTTCTCATCCCTCCCCTCTATCTCTCACCCTCCCCTCCTATCACTCCCCTCTCTCACTCAAACCTTATCTATCCCCCTATCTACTCCCACCATCCCTATCTCTCCCTCCCCATATCTTTTCACCCCTTTTTCTCTCGTCACTGCATTCTTCTCACCCCACATCCCCATCATCGCACTCGAGGGTGCTGCTCCGGGGACTCGCACACCGACCCAACCTGTGACGCACCCAGCTTTTCAACCGGCGCGACCCAGTGGTGGTCGTCGCGCGGAACCCTCACCCCCTATAGTCCCCCCTCCCCTTTTTCGAGGGCGGGACCACAGGGTCGCGGGTTCGTGAACCCCACACCCCCCTATAATCCCCCCTCGCCCCTGTTCGGGGCTGCTGCGGGGTTCATTAGGGGATGATACGGGATTCTCGCGCGTATCTCTCCTCTCAACCGAGATCGAGGGGAGCATACCTGGGGTCTCAAATTCGAACGGATGTGATTCCGTGCATACCTCGTTCCACAGCGTCAACAGACCCGCTATTTCGCGTTTTGTGTCCGGAGGTATGAATCGAACTCGGTACCCTGTTAGCATGAAGCTAGCACTCTAGCAATACGCCAACACAGGCCACACCAAATCTGCTTTTTTCGGCCTCATGACCTATTAGTTTATTAAATCTAAATTTTATCTTTGTGCTATCATACAATAAATAAATTCCACGCTTCCCATTTTTTGTCCCGAGGTATGATTCGAACTCGGCACTCTTTGGATACGAATCCACCACTCTACCAATTACGCCAGCACAGGCCACGTCGATTCTGCTTTCTTTCGGCCTCATGACTTGTTAGTTTGTTATATCTAAATATTAACTTTGTGTTATTCAACAATAAATAAATACCACAACGTGTGAACATTACTCTTTTTTGTCCCGAGGTATGATTCGAACTCGGTACCTTTTTGTTACGAAGCCATCGCTATACCAATTACGCCAACACAGGCCATACCAACTCAACTTTTTTTGGCCATATGACCTGTTAGTTTGTTTTTCGTTTAAAATATACAATATCACCTACTTTGTAACGGTTTTATAATGTGATCGTCGTGGCGTCGTGCGTTAGGAGGTGGGAGTCGCTGGAGATGGCGGGATAGCAGGTTCGAGCCGTGGTGAGGTAAGCAGGGTAAGAATATTAGTTCTTAACGTAGGTAAGTTATGGGTTAAGGTAGTGTGAGTTAAGGTAAGGTAGTGTAAAGTAAGGTAGGTGATGGTAGCGTAAATATGGGGAATATTAATGTAATTATTACGCTAATAAAAATAAAGACATATTAGTATTAATGAGGATGTCATTGTGCAAAAGAAAAAAGTAACACGAAGGTTGAGGACTTTAATTTTTTTTTATAAGTTAAAGTTAAGTAAAACTGACCAATATTTGAAGTAGTATATTAATTAAAATGAACTAATTAACAGTTTCAATAATATAAGTGAGTGAAAAATATTAATATTTTTGACATGTTTGTCAAATATTAAATTTTATAATTTAATAGTCCATTTAAAATGGTAAAAGTTATAATTACGTTAACTTTATTTAATATTTTGATAATAAATAACTAAACAATAAGAAACTAAACCTAATTCATCTCAACCTAATAAAATTCTAATTAAATTTGGACTAATAATTAATATTATTATAGAAAATACAAATATTAATACTAATAATAAAAATCGATTTTTATTAAAGTCTTCTATTATATATATATATTCCAATATTTAACTACTATTGAAGAAATCATTAACACAAAACTTATAAATATTAAAGATATTCAATCATGATAGAATTAAATTACAAAAATTATATTATATGAAATTTATTTAAAGTATTAAATCCTCTTCGAAGAACGAATTAATGAGTATTTTAATGTTTATGATAACATTAGCTTATCAGTTTATAATACCTGTACCTGTATGTTGTGTTTCTAATATATATCACTGAAAATGGTGTGAAATGAAACACGCCACATAAAGTTTAGTTCGTTTTATTCAAAACTTCCTGTCAATGTATCACACTATTTAATAATACAATTATATTAATTTATTCTTACAATTGCAATAACAAGAATAATTAAAATACATTAACATTTGCCTAAAACTGAAATATATATATATATATATATATATATATATATATATATATAAAACACAGCATGACATTTATAGCTAAGAAGAAAAGTGCTCCATTTAAAGAAATAATAGAAAGTAAACTATTTAAACAAGAGAAAACATCGCTTCAACGTATTAAATGTTTAAGGCACTCGACTAGCATAAGGGTTTGCAAAAAAGCAAGGTGTATTGTCAACGCTTTTCTACCGAGTCAAAGCAACGATGCAGAGTTCTACCAAGTCAAAGCAAATTTATAAGGAGCTTAACTAAGATGCGGCAAGATGGTTGTGAACACCCAAACAATAAACGAACTGTTTTACACAATTGTTTACACTAAGAAGTGCACTCAATAAGTATCCTTATTAATAACAACAAATTTTTAAAATTTAGATATGTTTAAATATTCTTGTAATTTACGTTAGAGCATTATTTGACCGTAAAGTGGCTCATAATTAAATTAAAAAAACAAATTAAATTAAATGCAATATATTTATTCATTATTTCATTAACATATACACACTTAACTATTCAATATATCACAGTAGACACCTTCTCTGACGACAAGACGGAGATAGTTACTTGGGACAGCATAATTAGTAGATCGGGCAACTATTTTCGCTAGAGAACAAGCCTTGAGTGACTTGAGAGTTGAAGACACTACTTGGCCTTAAGTAGTCGTTTACCCTATAAACAAAAGCAATGAATTAGTAACAAGTCTCATAAAATATACTATAATAATAAATTACCTGATTAATCATTCGGCTGTGTCTTCCAAGCACTCTCAGTACGACCTTCATAGTAAAACTCAACAAGTGGTTTTTATAGTAACTGATTGTTAGTGAGGTTAGTCATGTTATTGAGTTAGTAAGAGTTAAGTTGAGTTAATCATGCATAATTATAGGCAGTTAATGAAAAAAAAAAACACTTGCGAGTCATACACATGAATGAGTATTCCAAGCTCTTGATGTTAGGAGCTACAGGGCAGTAATAGTTCGATTGAGAAGATCTGCAAAAAAAGAAACAATTAGGAAATTGTTTCTATTTATACTGGTATGGGGGTTAACACATACCTGGTAAAATGTTTCTGGAAGGATTCCTGGTTTAAGGAGTCAGTGTGCAGAGCAGCAGTAGTTGAAAGGACCTGAAAAAAAAAGTATCATTTTAGGAATGTTTGCATTTACACTGGTATGGATTAACACATAACTGGTAAAATGTTTCTGAGAGGATTCCTGGTGAAGGAGTCAGTGTGCGGAGCAGCAGTAGTCGAAAGGACCTGGAAAAAAAAGAATCATTTTAGGAATGTTTGCATTTATACTGGTATGGATTAACACATACCTGGTAAAATGTTTCTGGAAAGATTCCTGGTGAAGGAGACAGTGTGCAGAGCAGCAGTAGTTGAAAGGACCTGAAAAAAAAAGTATCATTTTAGGAATGTTTGCATTTACACTGGTATGGATTAACACATACCTGGTAAAATGTTTCTGGAAGGATTCCTGGTGAAGGAGTCAGTTTGCAGAGCAGCAGTAGTTGAAAGTACCTGAAAAAAAAGAATCATTTTAGGAATGTTTGCATTTACACTGGTATGGATTAACACATACCTGGTAAAATGTTTCTGGAAGGATTCCTGGTGAAGGAGTCAGTTTGCAGAGCAGCAGTAGTTGAAAGGACCTGAAAAAAAAAGAATCATTTTAGGAATGTTTGCATTTACACTGGTATGGATTATCACATAACTGGTAAAATGTTTCTGAGAGGATTCCTGGTGAAGGAGTCAGTGTGCGGAGCAGCAATAGTCGAAAGGACCTGGAAAAAAAAGAATCATTTTAGGAATGTTTGCATTTATACTGGTATGGATTAACACATACCTGGTAAAATGTTTCTGGAAAGATTCCTGGTGAAGGAGACAGTGTGCAGAGCAGCAGTAGTTGAAAGGACCTGAAAAAAAAAGTATCATTTTAGGAATGTTTGCATTTACACTGGTATGGATTAACACATACCTGGTAAAATGTTTCTGGAAGGATTCCTGGTGAAGGAGTCAGTTTGCAGAGCAGCAGTAGTTGAAAGTACCTGAAAAAAAAGAATCATTTTAGGAATGTTTGCATTTACACTGGTATGGATTAACACATACCTGGTAAAATGTTTCTGGAAGGATTCCTGGTGAAGGAGTCAGTTTGCAGAGCAGCAGTAGTTGAAAGGACCTGAAAAAAAAAAAGAATCATTTTAGGAATGTTTGCATTTACACTGGTATGGATTATCACATAACTGGTAAAATGTTCTGAAAGGATTCCTGGTGAAGGAGTCAGTGTGCAGAACAGCAGTAGTCGAAAAGACCTGGAAAAAAAAGAATCATTCTAGGAATGTTTGCATTTATACTGGTATGGATAAACACAGACCTGATAAAATCTTTTTGGAAAAATTCCTGGTGAAGGAGTCAGTGTGCAGAGCAGCAGTAGTCAAAATAACCTAGAAAGAAAAGCAATATGTTTTGTTGATTCTAGGAATGTTTGCATTTATACTGGTATGGATAAACACAGTACCTGGTAAAATGTTTCTGGAAAGATTCCTGGTGAAGGAGTCAGTGTGCAGAGCAGTGGTAGTTGAAATAACCTGAAAAAATCATTTTAGGAATGTTTGCATTTATACTGGTATGGATAAAAACGTACCTGGTAAAATGATTCAGGAAAGATTCCTGGTGAAGGAATGTGAGTGCAGAGCAACAGTTGTTGAGAGGACCTGTAAAAAAATAAATATGTTATTTATTGTTCACATTTATACTGATTATGGATGAAAACGTATTTCATAAAATAATTTCAGAGCGATTTCTGGTGAAGGAGTCAGTGTGCAGAACAGCAGCAGTGGAAAGGATCTGGAAAGAAATAAACATGTTTTAAACATATGGATTGACATATACTTCATAAAATTTGAACGGCTTGGTGGTGTAAAAGTCACAGGTTCTAAAGAGGCCTCGCACTTAACATTTAAATTGTTATATGCATAGACAAACTTTATAAAGTATGGAGAAATGTCTGGTAAAGGAGTCGGTATAAAGATTTTTCAATTGCTGAATTGGATGTTAAAGGACCAGCATCTGGAATAAACAAAAACATTAATGAATACATTGGTGTTATATATAGATATTTCATAAAACAATTACCAAAAATCCCTCGTAAAGGAGTCTGTGTGGAGTTAAAATGCTTAAGCAACCTAAAAGCTATAATATTTTTTTTTATTATTAATGCAAAGAAATGCAGAAACAGTGATAAAAAATTTATTGTTGAATTAAATATATATGCAGAAATAAAAGAATAAAAAACGAACACCATATGAAAATAATAGTGTGCTAATTATTGATTACTGAACACTTACTTGAAAGTTTGCTTCGGCTAGTCTATTAACTATTATGCGAGGCTGACCAATTTGCAATCCAATCATTGCAGTAAATTCGAATTTATCAAACTTATTAGTCCTCTTTGAAGAGCATTTATTCTTAAGTCTTAAAATGTTTATACGATAAAATGGAGCTATTAATGTTTGCGAAATCTGAGTGATTCATACTCGAAATGCTTTCAAAATATGTTCATAGTTGTATCATTCTAGTTGACCACAGTGACAAATCAAATATGCCTAAAAAATAATAAAGTAGATCTAGTAAAGAATAAATTAAGTCATCAAAATAAATCAATGATTGATAAAATAAAATAAATGTAAACTGAATTTTTGCTCGATGCTTGGCCATTCGACTCAATTTGCTCGATATATGTTGTGGCCTCTGTGTGATTTCATCTTGATGTCCAGAAATATAATGCAGCACAATTTATTAGCAGTTTAAGAATTGCATTTGGTTTCATATAAAATGCATTAACATGAATTGAAAACAGTGAAAATTAAAATGTAATGTGATACGTCAAATCCACATTGCATAATCTCAAATGATTCAAACGACCACATTATTTTTCAATAGTTGAATAGATTAGTGTGTTAGTGTTTGTTATTATTAATAATAAAACTACTGATGCTACCTAACTAATAAATTAACCCACATGCAAGGCATATCGTGCAAATGATCATTCGAATCTTGAGTAAAATTACTGTTTAATAAATCTATTCGTACCAAATGCAATTCTAATAAATACCACATTCAGAGCGTCACAGTAACAATGTTGGTATAAAAACTGAAGGACTCTGGTTGCAGCCAACTCAAACCTACCTGCACCTGCAAAATACACAAATTATTATTGAACTTAGTTGATTATACATATATCATTAAATGTCATTGTTGATGCGTCACCAAAGCTGTATTCGTGTGCAATGCAGCGCTCCAGCGAAGCACAGAGTCTTTATATTCATTCAAATTGTAACTATCCTTTGTCAATTTGTTGTTCAAATTGAAACTTTTTTTCAAGTAAGAGAAATAAAATTATGCATTGAAAACAAAAAATGGCTTTCATGAAAAAGTAATTTTGCTTTAAAATTCTTAATGACATGATGATTGTGGTCCAATATACACAATTCTTCTGATCTATAAATTGAAGTGAGATCGCACATAATGACGTAAATAAACTTCAAATTAAACTACCCGTATGATTGTACTCACAATAATTCTCAAAATGAATTAACAGTCATTATTTTTTACTTTCACAACTTTTTACTATTACTTTCGATTATTTCTTTTGCACAATGACCGCCAGCCATTCAATTGTGAACTCTTGCTCAGTCAACATAATAATAATATGTAGTTTTATTTAAAAGTGGGCACCAAATGATGCAAAATAAAATTATTAGATAAAATATATCTGGCGTACGTCTTAGACAGTAGTACGACTTGAGCAAAAACTACATAAATCGAGCACACGTTTTCCAAAAAAAAAAACAGAAATGATGAACGGTTTCAATTAAATCTAAAACATCTTAAAACACGAAATGCAATCCGAGTGAATCCGCAAAGAGAAATATAATTAGCACAAGTGCAACGTACCAGGTGACGCTCGCAGGTCGCATGTACTCCACAGGCAGCGAAGGGTCAGGCCCGCTCGTCCGTGTTCGACGAAGTCTCGTTGTCTTCTTCCAGCGATCGCCACGATGAAAATGAACTCTCGCAATGACAACTCCCTCTCCGAACTCCTATAGTCGCAAAGCATAGATGTGCAAAAGACTTGTAGACGTGCGACTGCAGAGCGCGCACGGGTCGAAGATGGCGCTTCAGAAACTCGAACGCCTCTTCTGTTTTGAAATCGACAAAACGAATAAAAGATGAATAAATCCAATAAAATTGGATTATTAAAATAAATATATTTGGTGTAAAATATATTACATTTTCTTTCACAAACTTCCGTTTTTCAGACCACTTTTTTGCTTTTCTTTTGAAGTGATTTTTAACGTACATTTTTAAATATACAGGCAAGTTTATATATATTAAAAGCCGATTTCCCTGAGTAAATAAAATCTTTACACAATTGTTTTCATCACATAATGACTGTGTTTAAAAATCTTCATTATTTAAATAATTATCTATATAATAATTAATTATTATATATTATTGTAAGACTATGAGATGAAAACAAAATACAGATATATTATTAATAACAATTTTTGATTATAATATGTAATTATAAAAATATAGCAATATTGTAGAAATAAATCGAAAAAAATGCAAAAAAACAACATGTCATTGAAAACAAATTGCTCTCTATGATTTGCTCAATAGAATAAATCGCATAAAAAGCTCAAAATAAATAAGTAAAATGTTTCAAGAGACAAATATTAATTAAGGATAAAAATTTTAATAATAAACTGTTAAAACAAATAAAATAATAAGGCGGGGGGCGCTGAAGAAAAATAGCATGCGGGCGCTGAGAACCCGAGTAGCGATCCTGGTAATAATGTATAATAAATTATGACTAAGAAAAATGTAATTTAGATATTGTAATTACTAAAAAACAATTAAAATATAATACGAGATTATAAAAAACGTAGGCAACATTATTGGAGTAATTAGAAAAATTCCAAGGTAGTATTGTACTTTTACTGCGGATATTACCTGCTACGTATTAATTTTTTCTGAATTTGCTGTACCGTTTAAGAGACTTAAATTTCCAATATAATGTGGGAATTGAGATTCATCATTTTATTTAAAGCAGTTCTACATTTAGCATCGCTCATATTCTTGTATATGCATTTTGATGCGAAGAGTAATTTAAAAAACAATAATTATTATTTTTAGGTAAACGGAAAATATTAATATGGGATATTAAAAAATTGTAGAAGTGGGTACAGGACAACGTCTGTCGGGTCATCTATATTTATTTAAATTAAACTAAAAATTTTATATAATTTACTTATTAACATCCAGGTAGAATTTTCCCTATGTAGTACTCTCCTCAGGAAATTGTTTTTTCCATTCAGCACCATAAACATTCGCTAGAGCAAAATAAATTTATCAATAACATTGATCAAATAAAAATAAATTTTATTGAAAATTCATCACCACTGATTCAAAATAGCAGCACTATCGTATTTGGTGACAGTACCATCAGAGTTATTTTTATTTATTCCTTTTGTGAAATCTATAGACACGATATCCGAGCCGTCAAACATTTTGGCAATCTCGTTGAATCGCTACCTGGGCTGGATCATGTGGAAAATGTAAATCCTGGTGTCGAAATCCAAATGGTAAGCTTGATTCTTGGCCTGGAGGAGGATGAAATATTGGTATAAGTCATAATGTTTTATTGCATTTGAATGTACTTGAAGTACCTTAAGGGAAACTATAATTTTTCCTGCAAGTTTCTTGTTGCTCGGGTAACTATCAGGAAGGGAGAGTAGTCTCAAAATTTCCAACTTAGTATCACCAGAAGCACCTTCATATAGCATCATCAACAGTAATTTTACGCATACTGGGGAAACTAGGAGATTACTTGTTGATTTTGTTGATGTCTTAAAAAAAACAAAAACATACATGTTGTGAAAATTGTAAAATTACATCTCGTAAATTTTTTTTATTTATATTTATAAAGCACACTCGGTTTTTGGAAAATACTATAAAGAAAGTATTTGAAAAATACTAGTGGTGCATGGCATAGTGCCTTAAGGCAAATTTCTAGAACTTTCCGTACAGTAATTTAAAATTTTAAAAATCTCAGAATAGAACAAATATTTTTTTTGGAGAATCTTGAATTTTTTGACCATTTTGAAAGCAGCATAATTTGAATACTTAAATAACAGCATTTTTTGAAAATACTGATTTTTAACTTTCCTTAGAGTTACTAATTGATTGTTTTTGTTTATAGGGTAAACGACAACTTCAAGCCAAGTAGTCTTCAACTCTCAAGTTACTCAAGACTTGTTCTCCAGCAAAAATAGTCGCTCGATCTATTAATTATGCTGTTCCTAGTAACTCTACCTACTATAATGCATTGAAAAGTTAAGTGCACAGATGTTAATGAAATAATGAATTAATATATTGTATTTAATTTAATTTGTTGTTTTAATTTAATTATGAGCGACTTTTAATTTTACATTATGCTGTAACGTATTTTACAAAAATATTTATTATACCTTATACATTTGCTTTGACTTGGTAGATGATCAACGTTGGTCAATACACTTTGCTTTTTTGCAAACCTTGATGGTGCTGGAGTGTCTTAAATATTTAATGTGTTGGATCGATGTCTACTAAATAAAATAGATAAAAATTAAATTTTTTATCACTTTTATATATGATGCACTTTTCTTAGCTATAAATATAACTTAATTTGATATCATACTATATCTGTAACATAAATGTAAATTTAATTTAAACCTTTTAGAAATGTTATCGACTTTCTAAAAATATAGAAGTACATAGATTTATATTAAAATTGATTAAGATTAATTTAATAATTTAAATTGGCACTGATTACTCATAGTTATAAACATTAAATACAAATCAAAAATTATAAAATTAATACATACGTACAAATTTAGCCAAAAACATCAGATAGGAACTACCAAATATTTGTTTACTAAAATTATATTTAGTTATAATTGAATGAACAAAATGTGTATGATGCATTATATATATACACACATATATATTTTGTTAAACGCTTGAATGGGCTCTGTGAGTCTTGAGCCATTCCAGATTCGCCAGGACGCTGGTGAAAACCGTGTATTGATTAGAGTCGCATGATCCATCCCGAGTTGGCCCGACAGAAACAATGCCCCTGAGGAAGTATACGGTTGTGTTTTGGTCCAATGCCCGAGGAAAACAGGCCGCCGCCGCTGTCCCCTTGACAGACGCTGCTACCGTTCTGATATCCGGCACAGAATTTTCCGGGCGTCAAATATGGACGGAAATCGGCCGGAAAATTCTCGCGGCATGCGTATCGGGGAACACTTGGAAGAGTTATGGATTTGAGTTCTTCACTTGGCTCACCATTCTCAGTCGTCAAACCCCAGCCGGATACCTGATAAATAAATAAATAAAACAATAATTTAAATATTTGAAATATGTCGATATTCTAACACGTATGAAAAATTATTTTTTCTTCGACTTATATCCTACTTAAAGAAAATACAAACATTAATAATGATAAGAATGACAAGTGAGCATATAATTATCAAATTGGATTTTCAAGCAAAAACATAAAACTCTCCTCCGGGAAGTTTAAATTCGAGAAAAAAATAATAAATTAAATTTATAAAAAAGTTATAAAAGTAGTAATTGCTTACAATTCCAGGTGTGTTTGGCTTCAATTCTTCCTCTTCGCCCCTGAACGTCCATTGCACGCATATTGGACGTACAAATGGTGAAAACGTTAATGCAAATTGTGTAATAACAATGGCAATATCTTGGGCGTAGTTGCCAATCAAATCGTCATACCTAAATAGTGTTTTTTTTTTAAAGATATTTGTATTCATAGTAATAACTACCAGTACTAGAAGTCATATTAATTCTAAGCTATATTATAAACGTTACGTTGAAGGTATGAGAAGCTGATCTACATTGTTGAGTTGAGCAAACACGTCTCGCTCGTCAAGCCAACTTCTGTAAATCTTTCCTACAGCAACGGCAAATTTTGATTTATCATATGGTTCCGAACCACCGGTCGGATAAAAGCAATGAGCGGCTGAAAAACATATATATATATATATATATATATATATATATATATAAATCATATTGAGTTTATACATTGATATACGGAATGGCAAAACTTTATTATAATGATCGTTAAATTTAAATATAATGAAATTTACTTCTAAAATTCATTAATGAATTGGTTGATTGGTTGATTGGTTGATGCATTAATGAATAATTTTACTATAAGTCATAGTATTGTGATTATATTTTTCACATGTAATTTCGTAAATAAAACTATTTATTTACACCAAAAATGGTTTTCAATTCATTTCGGAATTATTTTTAGTTGTTAGTGCACAAAACTTATTCACACAAAATTTAATGAAAAAGTATCTTATTAATTTTATTAAATTCCGGTTATAATCATTTTCGCATTAATTATTGATCCTCCGCATATTTGCTTATTGTATCTATTGTCTGTTTCATTTTTTTCATAAATTCCTGCATGCCAAGGAAAATCTCCAACCTAACTTTTTGACCACCTATGATCAATCCGTGACCTTTTGGAGTTGGAAGACCGCATTCTGAAATGTGATTTGTATAATTGAAAATATTACGGCTTATTTTGTTCCAAAGTGCTAATAATCATAATTAGAATACAGGATTTGAAAGTTTTAACAAACCTGGTGTGCATTTGAAAGGACTGGAATTCCAAGTTCCATCAATATCACAGGTTATTCTCGTGTTGTCAGGTGCATAGTAAAGTGTGTATCCTTTTTTACAAGTTAAATCTGCCGTAGTTCCTGCCGCCATGGGATTTTCGCATGACACTTCTTCATTCTTGTAAACGCAATATATGTCCACACTAGTTGAGGTAAGTGGATTGCACATTTCTAATAAAAAAATATAAATATTAACAATAGCATGATCATAGAAGAAATAAATGTAACATGCATTTTCTTTACTTCGACATAATGGTATAGAACTCCAAGAACCTCCTACGCAAAATATGGTTTCACTACCACTCAAAAAGTAGCCAGGATCACATTTATATTTGAGAACTGTCCATTCATTAATTGGCATTCCTGGTTCTGGGTCAGAACTTTGCCCTCCAATTAAATAACGTCCATTATTTGGTATAGCAGGAAGTTTACAATGAGCCGAACTTGTCAACGACCTTGGGATAAATATTGGTGGCATTATTTATAAGTTAAGTTGCAAAGTATATTTTTTATTACCTATTAGAATCATTATTTTTATATTTTATGGTACTCACACAGATGCATTAGCTCTGAACTCAGGACCACAAAATTCAGGCAGATTTTTATTATGTTGAAGATGATTTTTCTAAGACATATGTGCGAGATTAAATTTATAGAAACATTTCGCTTTGATGTTGTCATTTTACAGAATTAGCAATTTTTCACAGCCATTATTTTAATAAATTTGTTTGTTGATTATTACAATATGGTAAGCAATTAGCACATTTTTATCATTTTTTATCTATACTAGAGAATAAATTTATAAAATTCTAATGTTTAACTTTTTTTTAAGTCCGATGGAGTTTTAAAAAATGTGATTACTTTCCGATATATACCTTATATTATATATAATATATATAAAAGATTTAGTTAGTTTTTTGTAGAGTTATGAGTTACATCATTAAATAGCTCTTATTCTTGGTGTTAAATTTTGCTCACCTCTTGTAGTAAAATCCATGGTAGATGTACATATATGTTAGTAATGGCAAAAAAATCAACAGATCTACCATAGGCGGAAGCGACGCCTTTTAAAAAGTACACGGGTTCAAACGACTTGTAGTCAGGAACAAAATATCCGCCACCCAAAAAACCAAATGGAATTTCTAACCCTGTTTTATTAAAATACCATTTATATATATATATATATATATATATATATAAAAAGATTTCCATTACAACAAACATACCAAAACTTAGATTTCCTGCACAGAATTTATCATAAGATTGATAATATCTTTTGAAGGGATATTCGAAATTTCCGCAACTCGTATTCGATATATATGGTAATGATAAATTATACACAAAACGTACAGTATCAAAAGTTTGACTATCGGTGCTATACCCTGGTACCTAAAACATTACAAATACCATTTAAATCATATTTAAGTAAAATTTTAATATTATTTATAAGTTAATAAATATGTATTGTTTGTTTTCACTTACGTATCCCATTTCTCCAATTTCTGGCTCTTCTATGGGTCCATTAAATAGTCTTTCTAAACAAATAGGCTTAATTATATCACTAAAGGTAAATTCGCCTTTGATAAGAATGATTGCAATATCATTTGGTCGACCCTCATGGTTAGTATCAAATCTAAAATGAATCATAATAACTAACTAGACTTTATAAGCAAATAATTACTCAAAAATTGAGATTTCAGGGTTATATTCATTATTAAAAAATGTATTATGCAACTAAATATTAAAATATGCTATTATAATATTTTAATTGAAGTAAAACTGTAGAAAGCCGTGCCGCGACAAAAAAAAAAAACAGAATTTATGATAAAACAAAGTTTTTTGTGCAAAATACCCCTTAGGAACGATGATTTTTTCGATTTCATAATGCTGATCATAAATATCCTCTGTTTTATTAAATCTGAACACACTAGATCCTACGACAACTCTGCGATCGTCCAAGTCGATGTCTGGCTTATGGGCGCAAAGAGCAGCTAAAAATAAGTAAAATATTACCTACTCATAATATGGTTCATAGACATGAATAAAAATTATGTGATGAAACAAACTTGTAATTATCATTCTTGAGTTGATAATAGAGCCCCCACAACTGAATAGGAATTGTACTTTTCTTAAATCTTTTCTTCGTGTAAACAACATAGCATACCATGGATATTGACCCGCTAAGTAAGTTACAGGAGGGTCCGAATTAAAAATAGTTTCAATTGGTGTTGGATTACCACATTCTGGAATAAAATATAAATGAATAATACTGAGAAAAGTGTACATGAATAAAAAAAAAGACTCAGAACAAACGGAGTCAATAAACAATTCAAATGTTACATAAACTGATAATACCTAGAACTTATTAGTATTTATTAGAATGTATTATGAGCAAATTGTTTCAAAATACAAAATTGCGTATACAAAATTTATATATATATATATATATATATTTATTTATTTAAACCGAAATATACATGATTATTTATGTATGTGTGCATGTGTGTTTTTATGCAAATTTTAAGACTAATGTTGACGTCATTCTCGGCAAATCATGTAGAGCTACATGTTGAATATTCCAGTTTACCATCATACGGAATTTTATTTTATTTTTACAAAACGTATGACATTCTTGCCTGCAGTGTCAAAATCCATGATTTTTTCATTCTAAGAATCTCACCAGCTTACTCTAATATAAAACTTTATATATATATATATAATTTAAAATACAAATATTAATCGTTCAATAAAAATATTGTCCAATTAAACTCATCCCACCTGGTTCACAAGAGAATAAACAATTATCCCAAATTCCATCATTTTCGCAATTGATTTGCGTGAACTCTGGTTCTTTGTGTAATTGGAATCCTGGTTTGCACGCCAAGTTTGCCTTAGTCCCGGGCTGCATACGGCTGGTGCAGGGCACCGTGCGAAATCCCCTTTGGCATTGGATGTCCAGAGTGTCAGACTTTAATTCTGTGCATGTTCTAAGAGAAATAAATTTAATAGTAAATTAAATTTTGAGATTAAAGCAATATTTTTCATATAATTAAAAGTATTAAATTTAAACGTTAAATTAATTAAGTAGAAAAAAAATTTCACTTTATATCAAAAACTAGTAAAATTGTTATTACTATATAATTTTTATTAACAAAAATATATTTATTAATTTTAAGTTGTGGTAAATTGTAATCGAAGTTGATGGACTGTTGAATTAATTGTAATTAAGAATCAAGTTCAATTATGTTTGAATTTTTCTTATTAATTTATTAACATGATAGAAATTACTGCAATAACAAAACTGCATACCAATAAGCATTTTTTTCTTCATATTTACCTCCGAGATTGCTGCGCGCTGGATATAATTACTGAAACATGACAAAAATTTATTGCTGAAACGTGATTTTAAATTAATTTATAAACATTTTTTAACAAAAACATAATATTACTTGAACGATTTATAAAGAAGTATATACGAGAATTATATGTAACTTAGAGATTACAAGTTGAGACAATTGAGATCGAAATTTATATTTTGTATTAGTGTAACATAATACTAAACACATACTTCTTTAGTTTGGCCTTAACTTACCAGAAATATATAGTATAACGAACACACAAAAATTATTATTTATAGTCATTGCGAATATTTTTTGCTATTGAAATTATATTTTTTATATGATTATAATCACATGAATTTACTTATATACATAATATAAAAATATTCCTATATGCCCTGTATTAATTTACTTAGTTAAACCAATGAAATAGGTTATTTTCATAATATTAATTCGATAATAAATAATTTCAGTAATAGTGTTCGGTTTGCTTCTAATTTGTCATATAAACAATCCTGTGTATGCTTTTGTATATATGGGGCCAGTGGGGGAAACCAGTATTTTGCAACAAAATAAGCAGAAGCCGGGATTTTTGCTCGTGCATTTGACCCATACTAATGATAAATATGATATAAGTGCGCAATTGAAATTATTCAATAACAAATATGGATTTAAAAACTAAATATAGCTTTTAATATAATCATAATCTAAGCGTATCAAAATAAACTAGTAACGAGGTAAAATATTATTAACTTCCGTAAGGTAATTATGATATTTGTTTAAATTTGTGTTGGAATTTATGATATTAATTAACTGAGAAACTAAATGAAAGGGTGTCAACCAAAATTTATAAATAGGCAATATAAATAAATCATTAAAAATACAGCTTATTTAAATCTAACAACAAATAAATAAATAAAGATTATTTAATAATAATTATATTAGTATTAAGATAAACATCGTCTCAAACTCTTAAATTATCCATTTGCTAAACATATATTTCATCAATATCCATTATTATTACAGAAAAGATTGGTATACGCATAACACTTCTTTTATTTATGGGTGTACCTATAAGTGTATGAATGCGTGCATTTGTAAATATATAGATATAAAGATGAAGATGAACTGTATTAAATCAATGTGACCATATACTTTTTTTGAGTCCAAACTGAGATGCATACCAGTACGGGGAAGGGGGTGTGCTTTAAAATGACAAATGCTATTTGAGGATACAATAAAAAACTGTTTTTTATGAATCATTTTCTTTAATCAGAATTGCGGATTTTTAGTATGAATGCTATAATTTGATAATATATAATACTTTTTTTTATTTAAGATAATAAATTATATCTTATATTTTTCGATCTATATGTTTTTTCGCGTTTCAGCCTTCTATAAAATGTTATTCAATTTTCTTCATAATTTGAAATTATTAGTACTAGTTCGTATGTTGGCATAATTTTTGTTAATTTGCTTATTAATTTTTGAAAAACAGACAATCAGGCATAAAAGATCTCAATCCAGTACAATTATTGGAACGTATGATCACCTTAATTAAACGCTTAAATGGGCTCTGTGAGTCTTGAGCCATTCCAAATTCGCCAGGACGCTGGTGAAAACAGTATATTGGTTAGAGTCGCATGATCCATCCCGAGTTGGCCCTACGGAAACAACGCCCCTGAGAAAGTATACGGTTGTATTTTGGTCCAATGCCCGAGGAAAACAAAGGCCGCCGCCGCTGTCCCCTTGACAGACGCTGCTACCGTTCTGATATCCTGCACAGAATTTTCCGGGCGTCAAATATGGACGGAAATCGGCCGGAAAATTCTCGCGGCATGCGTATCGGGGAACACTTGGAAGAGTTATGGATTTGAGTTCTTCACTTGGCTCACCATTCTCAGTCGTCAAACCCCAGCCGGATACCTGATAAATAAATAAATAAAACAATGATTTAAATATTTGAAATATGTCAATATTCTAACACGTATGAAAAATTGTTACTCGCTGCCTGAAATCCTAGTTGGGCCATGAATTAGTTGTAGTGTTTTATGAAAATATTTCACATATTAACCATAATGTTCTTTTTTAAGAAGTCAATGGTACTTAAGATATTTTAAAGAATTAAAGCACATGCTTACAATTCCAGGTGTGTTCGGCCTCAACTCTTCCTCCTGTCCCCTGAATGTCCATTGTATACAAATGGGTCGTACAAATGGAGAAAACGTCATCGAGAATTGCGTGATAATTAGAGCAATATCTTGAGCGTAGTTTCCAATCAAATCGTCATAACTAAATAATAATATATTTTAATATATATATATATATATATATACCTATATATATAAATATATATATATATATATATATATATGTGTGTGTGTGTATGTGTGTATGTGTATTTAAATCTTACGTAGGGGGTATGAGAAGCTGGTCTATATTATTGCGTTGAGCAAACACATCACGATCGTCAAACCAACCTCTGTAAATCTTCCCACGGCCACGACAAATCTTGATTTGTCATAAGGTTCCGTACCACCAGTCGGATAGAAGCAATGAGCAGCTAAAATATATTTAGAAATGCATATGAATAATATAATTGCTAATTTTATTGTTTTGTTGGAGCTCAATATAAACTCAAAACTTCAACACTAGAGTAAGTTATTTATTTTGGTAAAAAATATAATTTTTACCAGATATAATCGTTTTTGCATTGATTATGGATCCACCGCATATTTGTTTATTGTATTTATAATTTGTTTCATTTTTTCATAAATTCCTGCATGCCAAGGAAAATCGCCAACTTTAACTTTTTGCCCGCCTATGACCAAACCATGGCCTTTTGGAGTAGCAAGACCACATTCTGAAATTTTAATTGTATCACTACAAATGTCAGAAGCTATTCACGTTTAAGCTTTTTATATTAACTAATAACAATTGTAATTAAAATCCAGTATGTAAAATCAACGAACCTGGCGTGCATTTAAAGGGACTGGAATTCCAAGTTCCATCAATATCACAAGTTATTCTAGTATTGTCAGGTGCATAGTAAAGTGTGTATCCTTTTTTACAAGTTAAATCTGCCGTGGTTCCTGCCGGCATTGGATTTTCACATGGCACTTCTTCATTCTTGTTTGTGCAATATATGTCCACACTAGTTGAAGTAAGCGGCTTACACATTTCTAATGAAAAAATATAAAGATTAACAATATCATGATCATAGGAGAAATAAACGTAAAATAAATTTCTCTCACTTCGACATAATGGTATAGAACTCCAAGAACCCCCTACGCAAAATATGGTTTCACTGCCACTCAAAGAATAACCAGGATCACATTTATATTTAAGAACAGACCATTCACCAATTGGAGTTCCTGGTTCGGGATCAGAACTCTGTCCTCCGACAAAATATCGCCCATTATTTGGTTTTGCAGGCAGTTTACAATGAACAGAACTTGTCAATAGCCTATGGAGAAACAATTTTATTTTTCATATATTATTTATATTTTATCAGAATTATTATTTTTATATTTGATGATACTCACGCAGATGCGTTGGCTCGGAATGCTGGACCACAAAATTCAGGAAGCTTTTCATTTTGTTGGAGATGATTTTTCTTAAGAAATTTTAATGATATATGATTAATAAAATATCAATAGACATGCAGATATTTAAGTGTATGTTAGGCATTACTATGCAGACTATAGTAAGCTTTGGTTGAAACAAACAATAAATAAAATAATTAAGAAGAGATATCTAATTCGTAAAATTCAAATGTTCGTAACTAATTTAAAACAAACAAAATTACTTTCAGAATGATAGTAATAAATAATCTTATAATATAAAATATTGTTTTCTGTATTAACTTTAATTCACCTCTTGCACTAAAATCCATGGTAGATGTATCTTTATATCAGTGATGCCAAAAAAGTTGACGGATCTACCATAGGCGGAAGCGACTCCTTTTAAAAAGTATACGGGTTCAAACGACTTGTAGTCAGGAACAAAATATCCACCACCCAAAAATCCAAATGGTATTTCATATCCTATTTTATTTATAAAAAAAATAAAGAACAGGTATATTTATTGAAAATAATTATATTTAAAAAACGTACCAAAACTTAGGTTTCCTGCACAAAATTTATCATAAGATTGATAAAATCTTTTAAAAGGGTATTCAAAATTTCTACAACTTGTATTTGAAATATATGCCAATGATACATTGTACACAAAACGTACGGTATCAAGAGTTTGTCTATCAGTACTATATCCTGGTACCTAAAATAACATTATATAGAACAAATATATTTCTGCATATGATTTTCGTAAAAGTTTAGTTAATAATAAATTATGTTTTATTATATATTGTTTATAAATAATTCTTGACTTACGTATCCTATTTCTCCTTCTGGCTCTTCTATGGGTCCATTAAAATGTCTTTCTAAACAAATCGGCTTAATTATATCACTGAAGGTGAACTTTCCTTTAACTAGAATAATTGCTATATTATTTGGATTGCCTTCTTTTTTAATATCAAATCTAGAATAGATCATAATAACTAAATAGAAATTATTTATAAAAAAGTACATTTATAGAAACATTCTTTAAAAGAAATGTGTCTTTATTAGTTATTATTGTTTAGAAGTTTTTTTATAGAACGTTGAATATTGTGTTAACGTGAGGAGTTGTCTAAACAAATTTTGCTAATATTTTTATTTAGTTTGAAAAATACCCTTTAGGAACGATGACTTTTTCTATTTCGTAATGCTGAGCATAAATATCCTCTGTTTTATTAAACCGAAATACACTAGATCCCACAACAACTCTCTGATCATCCAAATCGATTTCTGGCTTATGAGCGCAATAAGCAGCTGAAAATATACACAATATTAGCAATTTATCACATTTTATAATATGAAATTTTAATGATAAACCAAACTTGTAACTATCATTCGTGAGTTGATAATTGAGCCCCCACAACTGAATAGAAATTGTCCTTTGAATAAAT